GGGGTCGGACTCGATGATCTGTCTAGGTCCCTTCCAACTCATTGATTCTATGAAGTGTACCTGATCTGCAAGGTATTTGGTACCAAGCACCATTTTGCCACAGTATAGGAGTGGAATCTAGTGATCAGGAGTCTACATACAGATTTAGCTGTATGATTACAATACATCTGGAAGCTATTGCATGAGAACCCCCCTGAAAAATACTCAGTTAAATAGTTTCAAATTAGTTAAGAGACCTGCTGTACATGTAACTAATTGTGTTTTGTTTTTAAAATATCAATACTTTAGCTGTTATTAACCCACTGCAAAAACCATACACAATGCATTTCAGCTCCCAAGTAAATAATTAATGAAAAAAATTAATTACTTCAATTTTTGTAGTGGTATCTGACTTGCTGTCTTTATATTCGACTTCATAAACTAAACAGCCTGATTGGAAAGCGTCTGGTTGTTGCCATTCAAGAGATATTCCATTATTGGTATTCAAGAGTTTTACTATCTTTGGAGCACCAGGTTTTACTGAAATAATAAGAATAAGTGTTAGTTAAAAAATTAAATACATTATCCTATATATTTTTAACACATGTACTTGGTTAAAAGCATCACTAGATAAGTAACAAGACATAGTTCATGTACAGCAATTAGGACACTGAAAAAAGAAGGAAGAACTGGCACCAGAGCTCAACAGGCTATGTGCATAATTTGTAATGTTTTATTTGTATGAATTTAAGTGACCGTACCATGGCAGTCTAAAAAACTGCATATATTTTATGACAACTTAGCTACACATAGTTGTGGGTATTTCAAAACCAGAGCATGATTTCCTCATGGCAGGAAGTCAAAACTGGTGACTACATTTAAATCAAGATGAAGCGGTCTGAATAGACTTGTTGGTAATAATTCATTATGGGAAGACCGAGCTTATCAGCAGTTACACATACCACAAAACTATCTACTTTATTCTCACCATAGAGAACGAAACCCAAGACATACCAAGGAGATCTTTATTTGTTACGAGTCATTAACCTTTTTACACAATGTACATGAAATATGTACTAGACCTAGATCTTCAGAGGTTTCCAAACACGCTCTCCCGTGCCACAAGCTGACAAAGTGACTGGCAGACCAGAATACCCGGTGGCAATGGGGTGCCTTGTTTATCTGGATGAAGCCTCACACAGGAGAAAATGAAAAATAACCCACCAAAACCTAAACCCTGCTACCAGTAGTGTGAAAGGCAGACAGATGTAATGATAGATTATGACTCTGCAGTTAAGCCTATCAGTTGTATCTGTTGTTTTCACTAAGGGCTGGCAACTCCTGTGCTTGGGGAGTCTAAAACTTGGGCTAAAGATGGTAGAGAATCAATTTAAAAGGCTCTGGTGACATCTAGACGTGTTCTCTCATCACTGACACTCGGGAGACTTGTGACAGCCAGAATAAGCAGCATTTAGGAATGACCCTGGGGTCACGGCTGGAAATCAAGGTCCAGCTCTTTCACTGATGTAAACTGGTTTTACTCTGTTGACTGCCGAACTGTATCAGTTTATATCAGCAGGAAAGGATTCTTCTGAATCCACTGGCCTACATAATTCTGTAGAGGAACTGGTCCTGGAAAAGCAGCCCATCACTATTGCTGGAAAGGTTTCTCAGAGATACGAAATGGTTCTGAGCAGGCCAAAACCAAACACCCAATGTACTCCACACAAAATCCACACACACTTGAAAAAACAGATTATCAACCCAAAGACACCACTTTTATGAGGGCAGTGGAGAGGAAGGCCTTTAATGAACTGCTCCAGCTTAATGTTAATAAAACTACTTGGAGAGTGTTATAAAACACATTTTATAACAAACGCTGAGAGCAAGAAAGCTCAACGCCAGGGCGAACCAGAGCCAGCCTTTCAAAAAACCTGATGAAGAGTTTTATCCTGCTGAAATTAGGAAATTCAATCTTGAAAAACATTGACCCATTACAAGGGGACCCTACCTGCTCACAAGCAATTTCTGAATGTTTCACAATGTTACTTCTCTATACAGACATGAATGCTATGTCATACACTACTAGTAGAAGGTAACAAGCATAATCAAAAGCAATTCTTTTCGTAGATCTGTAAACAAATTAACTTTGCAAAGCACACATGATTGATTGTAACATAACTAAACCTACCAATTGTTGCTGGATCTTTACTTTCACAGATGGGCCTTACTTCTTCAGAGTCACCTCGAACCAAAATATTGATTGTTGGATACAAAGATGTGGAATTTGCAAAGGCAAGTTTGAAAGCACAACTGAAGGTTCCTTCATGGATACGGTAACCTTCACATTGCTGGTGACTTTGCAGGCCCTCATACCTACAGCAATAAAATATAAATATAATGCAACTTCTCAAAAGCCCAGGCTGCAATGAATAAGTTTGTTTTTAAACCAGTGTTACCAGGTTGCAGAAGGTGACACTTCATGGAGGTTGGCCACACTTTTTCCTACACACACACGTGCACACACACTCACGAGCTAGACTAAATTGTCATTTCACTCATGCACTCTTTCTTTGGCCCTAGCTCCAGCTCAGCCCTCTGCAGACCGTAGGCCACTCAACCTCTTGGTATGCCCCCTTTGCGGGGATAGGGTTTTCACTCCTTCCCAGTCTCACGGCCAGATACTCAGTCCTCTGACACACCACAGTCCTAACTAAGGTGTCCTACTTAGATTTGCTTACTGCACCAGCAGGGATAGGATTCTGGATGGAGGGCAAAAACAGAATATAAAGAACACTGGGGGTTTTTTCCCATTCACTACCAGTACTGAAAAAAAAATGTGGTGTTAGGTCAAATAAAATAGCTGGTTCAACTCCCAAAAGGAAACATTTCACTTGGATCTTGTGCTTTAACACTTGTTTTAAAATACAGCTGCAAGACATTTTGAAACTGAAAGGTTGTGCTGGACCAAGAGGGCAAAATATTTTAGTTTCATGTAGAAAACGTCAGCTTTGAGAGTGACATGGCACTGTCCCCTGTGGTCCTCTCAGCTTTATCTGCATTTTTCACAAAAATACTTGGCTCAGCCCTAGCGAAAAGTGGTATCCCATGAAGGCACCGAGAAGCCCTATGAATTCACATTCCTCTCCCCCCTACCCCTCAATCAGATCCAGGGCCAGGCTCCTAATTCCTACACAGTGAAAGAAAATTCAGGGCACAAGCTACAGCGAATTAAGGGAGAACAGGTAGTTAACTGCTTATTAGTTGCCCTGTGGTGACTGCCCATCTGCCAACTATTAACCATGAGAAGGGAAAGCTAAGCCAGTGCAGCTTACCCCTCAATGCAATAGGGCTAAACTACAGAGGGTTAGCTTGCACTTACTGTGGGGCAAGAAAAGAGGCTGGAGCAGCTGATGCACATGAATCCCTGTCCCCTTGTAACTCACTTTTATTTTGTTTGCTTATGTTTACCCTTAATCATCTCAGTAACTAGAACCGGAGAGAAAAGGAGACAGGCACTTTTTATTTATTTAATACACTGTAAAATAACTCATTGCTGTCCACTGCAAAGTCAAGTGGCAACAAGGGAACTCTGAGCTTCCAGAGGCTCCAGAGATAAACTTCTGCCTTTCTCTGGAAGCTAATGAAAGCTGACATGCAGAGGAAACCAGCCATTTGTGAGAACGTGCCTGAGTTAGCATGCACATATATCAGTGCCAAATCCTTTCTTTTTCCACAACTCTGTCTTATAGCAGGTGGCTATTTATGGAAGTTACTTGGGAAGGGAGGGTCTCGAGAGGATAACATCATATCATCCAGCACTGTGACGTCCAGAGATGAATCAGACACTGGAGAGAAATGACTTATACCAAACTACTACTAAATGTTACCCACTGTTGTGGTTCAATGGTCCAGATGTGCTTATAACTGCTGTGAAAGCACTGGCCTTTGGATACTATCTCAATGGGGGGATGGAAAATCTGGGCAGCCTCCATACTCTTGCCTAGGCATACATGTCCGAAGGTCTTGGTGACCTCTCATGCATACACCATGATCCAAAAGGCTTGATGGTTGCCTGCAATGTGTTGTTTGCATTTCACATGATTTCCAAAGGTTTTTAGAAATGGTGAATGAGCAGATGAGTAATTTTAATCTAAACGACAGCCCAGCTTTGTGAAAAGGCCTTTCATAATCATCAGCAAAACTCTGTGCCAGCTCCCAGTTGACTCCCCTGTTAGTGAATTACAGCTACTTTTAAATAAGCCTGAGAACCACACCAATGCTTTCCATAAGCAAATCAGGTCCCAACAAGCCGGCATGAGCAATCTTTTGAGGCTACTGTAACTCAGAGTAGGGGAAGTTTCCTGCCAGCCAGGACTAACATTTTAATTTTTATACAGATCTTCAGAGCTCTTCCAGAGGACAAGCAACTCACAAATACAAGCCACTCAATGTACAAGAGGAGATAAGCATAAGAGTATTTGTAAGCCAGAGAGAAAATAGAAGCCAGTCAATACAAACCAGTAGTACAAAGTGTAGTTGGTCCTATCACTTGCTTTCTTTCCACGAAGCCAAGTACAAACCATAGACTTCAAGTTGTGCCAAATGCAGCTTATGTTACTAGCCTCTGTATCTGGTACACCTGAAACGCAAGTTTAAAAACCCTCTTAACATTCCTTTTTTCTTTCTTTAAAAAGAAGAAAACCACACACACCCATGCACACACATACACAACCTCCCAGCAAGGGCCTCTCATCATTTAGCAAATCTAAGTTGCTGCTATTCCCCTTCCAGTAGATACTTGAGAGGCAGCATGTGGCTTCAGGCTGGAATGAATACCTGAGTCTGACCATGCAAGTTACCCACTTGCAAAAGCAGCATGGCTCAACTGAAATCCCTAGAAGCCCCTACTAATCACAAGCAAGTTACAATAGCACTAAATGTTGTTTTTATTGACTCTGATCTACTATAGTGAAATCAAGAAAGTACCAGTTTTTCTTAAACCACAGGTGCTCTAGGATTAATTTAAAAGGAGTATTTATTACTGCCAAGTTGGGAACTGCAGAGCTGTTGCTAAGAAAAACCTGCCAATGCCTACCAAGTTACTTACAATTGTTTCCCTGTATTTTGAATATGATTATCAGTAGATCTCCAAATGCTGCTGAATGGTAACTGTGGGCCAAAGTTGAGTATTTAGATAAGCCCACCATACCTGTAAACATTTTACTGTATTTAAGACCTAAATCACATCACAGAATGATAAAAATAAAATGACTGCAAAGTCACTGTGAATCAAGTAGTCAACAGGATATCGCATGTACAGAGCAGCCACAGAATTAGATCTGTCATGTTTAACCTCACCTCTTTCTCTCATGCACAGAAGTTAACCTTTCTTCTCAAGAACATAATCATTTCTAACCAACCCCTCCTGTCTGCACTAATTAAGATACTAGAACAGGTATGTTCATCTCCCCTCCAGCAAGTAGCAACCCTCCCAAGTTTTGAATATGCATGTTACCTTCATAAGCAGACAAACCTGTAATTGGTCCCAAATCTGAAACTCATTTCTACTCCTGACTTGAATTTCCCCTGTAGCCATGACTATTTAAAGATTACAGGAGAGTTAGAAGGGTACTTGGATACCAAGAAAACAGATGTCCATGAAAGGTCTATATACAAATTTAAAATAATAATCTGCTTAATCCTTTCTGCCATAAGGATCCACTTCTGCAGTTCATTAGAACAATCCTAACCTCAAAGGGCAAAAAGAAAAAGTCATCCAGACCTCTGCACCTCCCCAGCACACACCTGTTCCTTTCAGGCTCACCTTTTTTGCCATCTGATTTGTCAGCCAGCACCTGCATTATGTTCCTTGCCTTGCTGTTATTTTCTCTCCTACTGGACTGTGCCGTATCATTCATGTTGCCTATTGACACTCATTTTTCCTGATGCTACCTAAGCATCCTTCCCTAAACCATTCATGGGCAAACTTTACAAACAGAATTTGGGGATGTGAAGCAGAGGCCTCGAACTCAGTAACACCACACAGAAGACAGACATCAACATTACAAACGCATGATAATCATTTCCAAGCTGACTTACCTGCAAGTTCTAGGTTTTGCTTTTCTTGGAGGAGATGATAGCAAAGAGTAAGCAACACTGAACTCAAGTAATAATTACACAGCTTGCTTTGAAAGCTTCTTGAGAATGTGGTAAGGTGCACACACTTTTAGGCTACAAACAGACATTGTATACATCTCGGGAGAAGCCATTTTATTCATGACAGGGCAACTGCTCGAACATCCATGTCTGTTGATCTGGGACAAACCCTAAAAAGAAGTTTATCCCCAGATATTTAGAAGTGCATCTGAATGGTTGTCCCAGGACTGCATCGTTGAATTAATGGCAGAAAAGTGGCAGTTTATTCAGCCACTTGTCAAGCCCTGATTGGAAGGGTGATGTGTGTATATGCCAAATCCAGGACTTCTCTTCTGGAGCAAACACAGGCACAACTTGTCCCAGGACAAGTGCAACATCTGTTCCTAGCCTTAGCTTAATGAACATCTAAATACAAAGATTTAATATTAAAAATGTAGCCCTTTTAATATAGTCACAGAAACCAAAGATAATGTCTAGTTAGTCACTGGTAAAGAAGGTAACATGTTCAAGACTTGATCATAGAGCAGTACCTTTTGGTAGAATGAGACTTTCCGCCCAGTCACTTGGGTTACTGGCATTGTCTGATTTACATTCACTTCTCACTTTTAAACAAACTTCCTTATTCATGGGTACATCTTCCACACGAAAAAGTTTCTTACTCCATTGCTAAGTTTAAAGAAACAAAATGTCAGTGCCCAAACACATTAAAAGTACAAGGAAATCAGTGACTACTAAAATGCATTAGAACTAATCCAAAAATGGCCCAACTCAAAACCAGTTCTAGAACTGAATAAACAGCTGATGCTTCAAAATGGAAACAAAGGGAAAGGAAGGAAGAAAGAAGCGTATTTAAAGCTAACAAAAAGTAAGTCTCTATCAGCAACATGCTCAAGCAAATCAACCAGCATGTCATGATATCAAACCACCTCCCAATGGGCTAGGACAGTTTGGCAACCTAGAGATGAAGAGTCGACTGTAGGATAGAGTACACTCTTCTGCCTAGACAAATTCTTCCCAGTCTACAGCAAAATGGGCCAATTTCAATGCTGCTGCCTGAGCAAAGGATTAAGAAAGAAAAGGGATCCAGTGAAGTCAATCTAGCATCTTTAATTTTCCTGAAATCGTCCAAAATCTTAGCAGAAGAAAAAGCACTCAAAGCCCATGACTCCAACAGAAGAAAATTCACATAAGCAGAGAACTATGGAATTGATAGCATGAACTGAACACTGACTGACATTTCAGCTACCACACAACAAACAAGTTGCAGCCAGCAGACAGTGTGCTATTGCCAAATTATTTGCATGTTGGACTGGCAGGAAAGAATGCAGCAATCAAAACAAAGGTGCTACCACGAACATCAAGCCAGACAACCTAATAGTACTCAGTAGCTAGCAGTGTTTCCATGGGGCATTCCCACAGCACCTAGAAGACTAGACTGCAGCCAAGATGCAAAGACTTGGAGAAAGATCAGGAAAAAGTAGAGTTAGGTTGAATTCTGACAGGCTAAGTGTATAAGACCTTACACATCTCTCTCCTGGACTGAACCCCTCTAAATGGTTTCCCAAAGTCAGGGTAACTGGCTCTTTCAAGAAATTCACCTTCATGTAATCCTCTTGGAAATTAAGGTAGTTTATGCATTTATTAGTTTCACTTAAGAAGAGAGACAGAAACATCCATTATTTGTTACTATCATGCTGTTTATGAATGATCACCAACTGCTTTATCTAAAATCTGCCGATAGCTATGCTGTTGTTTTTGATCTCCGAATAGTCCACATCCCATCATGGAATAATTGGTCAAGTGTATGAATTTAACTACAGTGTACTTTCTTAGAGAGTAAATCACAGGTTTTTTAATTCAAACACTTGAGGAACTTACACTCCTTCCTTGTAATATACCATTAATCGCAATGTCCGTGGAATATTCCAAATCACAGCTACGGCTAACGTTCTCCGGAGGTTTCCATGTCCATTTCAATGTACATATCTGGACAACAGAGTAACTCACGTTGGATGGAGGCAGAACTTCTGTTCCTAGAAAAGCAAAAGCAAAAAAAAAAAAGTTATGAGCACCACAAATATTATGTACTGCGCCAGTAAAACAAAATTCGGTCAGAAGTGTACGGCTTTGAAAATTGTTTTTTTGCTTAAATTAACTTCCAGGAACACTGTCCACTTCCCATGGAAGATGTCATCATTTCATAAAAACAAAAACTTTCCTGACTATATGCAAAAAGTTTTCAGTTTTCCAAGAAAAAATAAAGAGTTTCTGAGGGGAAACCCCCTTCCCCCTCTAAACTGACCAATTCTGTCAAACTTACTTCAATAGTTTTTTTACAGGGCCTATATTCTAAGCTATTTATATTACAGTTTTTAAATTTTGTCCTTCTCTATCAGAACTAGGTTCTTAAATAAAAGGATACAAATATATGCATTTTTAAGAAATCTATTCACTTGACAACAGGCTTTGCTTTTAGAACAGCTCTAAATCCCACTATAAAATGTGCTAGCAGCACCTATAGGTTGTTTTGCATATTGTACTTTATTTTAATAGAAATGTCTGCTATGTACTCTACAGCTAGGGTTATGTCCCCAAATAGCTCTAAAACAGAGGTTCTCGATCCTTTTAGATTCAAGGCATCCCGTGGAAAATGCCTGCTTTTAGCTTTTGCTGTTTTTTTGACCACTGAAAAATAACCGAGCAATTCTTTTCTTGCAAAGAACGCGGAAAAAACGCAAGTCAGATGGCTTTTAGCCGCATGAATGTGTTTGAAATCTCTAGGTTTATCTTGTAAAACCTGTTTGCACACCTGCTAGTGGTAAACTTGCATGGCACCCTGTGGGTCCATTGAAAAGATCTTTCGGCACCCTGCTTGAGAATCACTGTTCTAAAAATAGAGCAAAATGCATGGGGATCTCAAAAAATAGGTGAACAAAATGAAGTTTTACACAGGGTCAACTTTTGTAGCCTATGGATTTTAGGTATCATTAACTAGATTATTATTTGCCCTGAATGAAGAAGCTGGGCACATCCAGGCTTGCGTACTTAATACTCCTTCATCAAATGACAAATCTCATTTTGAGGGGCAGGGCTGTGGGATGTCACACATCTGATGGATGCAGTGTTCAAGTGCATATACAAATCTAACTCTCATCTCCTTTTTTGTCTGATTGTATCCTATTCTCAAAAGCAGGCTCAAAGTGAGTACAAGTTTTCACATGGCTGATGATAGATAATCTGGTTTCTGTTGGTAAGTGCATTTCTATCATCCACAAAAGTTCACCCTTTTCAATTCCACCCCCCTAAGTAAGCATGTAAAACAGACTAATCTCATTTTAAGTTCAAGGGCAGAGTAAGGAACGTTGATATTTGGCGAGCAATAACTTGTTACTGGCATATACCTGCAGAAAATTTCTACCTCTCGAAAGCAAGAAGTAAACAGAAGAACTGACTTGGAGGTTTCTGGGGATAAGAAAATGTATGCGCTATGCTCAACCCAGGATAGTGCACTGAGGTGCAATTTGGGTCTTAACTTCCAAGTTCCAATATGTTCATTTGACCATGACAGAAAACAAGGGAAGCAGTAAGCAAGCCTGGAAAAACACAGATACACCAGAGGAAGGGAAGGAACGCAAAATGCGCCAGACTCCGTTTCTCAATAGTTATCAACCTGGCAGCCAGCAAGTTTTAAGCAGCAGGGAAGCATTTTGAATTTATGTTTGTTATTACATTTAAGAAACAAGGCACTAACAGAAGAGGCCAAATGAGGTTGGCTTCTACAGCTGGAGTTAGCACTTCCAGGTGTCCACTATGAAAGGAACATCAAGCAACAGGCTCCCCAGAGAGGTGGTGGAGTCTCCAACCTTGGAGGTTTTGAACACCCAGCTAACCTTGGCAGGGATGATGTAGTTGGAGCTGGTCCTGGCTGGAGCAGGGGTTGGACTAGACGTGACCTCCAGAGGTCCCTTCCAACCCCCATTTTCTATGATCCTATGATCATTCAAATGGGTCAGTGGAAAGAGAGAAACTGCTCTGTCCAACTTAAAAACCACCCATAGACTTCTTGGAAGAACTACTGCCAAGCTTGACTTAGCTACCAGCTGGTCCATACATCCTAGGAGATGCCTTGGGCTTTGATCACTACATTTTTATATTGCATAGGGTACTAGAGATCATACAGTGACTAAAAAGAAAAAAAAATAAAGTACCAATTCTACCCCATAATTTGTTTTTATAATTTAGTGTTATATGTGCTTGCACAATGCAACACCTGGTCACCAGTATTTTAGTGTTTAATCTGCATGAACATGCAAAACAGCAGTAACTGAAGAACATCCTTTGCAACAGGGAAAAAAAGCTTTCTAGTACTCTTTCTATTGCTCTTCTACCATGCTCTGACATGTTTTGGTGACAAAACCAAATCAACCTTTCAAAAGACAGTTTAGCCTCTAATCATATTTGTTCCCCTCCTCCCCACCCCTTATAAAATGGTTTCGTGAATTTGGTGATTTGCAGGGAACTAAAACTAATGAGTTTTTTTCTGCCTAAAAGAAATCCAATCTCTTGCTCAATACCTTGTGTCAAGGTATCCTTGCCCATCACCCTACTAATTAACGAGAATTACTGCAGGCTTTGGAAATAGCATTGCTGTTATTTTCCAATCACTTCTGACAGCGTGGGATGTCACTGAGGCCAGTCAGTAGTCCCACAGAAGCCCTTCAGTGAGACAATTACAATGCTCAGAATTTAGCCATCTAGAAGCACCTGCAGGATCAAGCTGTTCGTAACCGAAAGGCGTCTTGCAAGGTATAAAGCCTAAATAAACCTCATTAGCATAACAAATTTAAACCTAATAAGTTTCAGAATATCAATGCCATTTTCAGGCCTTGTGCTTTATGCTAGCTTCTGAGAGGGCAGGGGAGGAAAACTTGTATTTAAAAAGCTAGTGTAGAATATGCCTCCCATAAGCATCCAGGTGACCTTGGTGCTTTTGTCAATTAAAATGAAAAATGATGTAGCGACCTAAACTGCAATGTTTATGACTTCCTTTTCAGATTTCATGCATTTGGAGAGACTGTGTGAAGTTCAGTTAAATAAATACTGATGCAGGACCCCTACAATTATAGACTTGCAACTCAGAATATCATGCCTCGGTACCTTTAAATTTGTGGCGTAAGCTGTCCGTTCAGCATACCTTTCCCTGAATGTAGACTGTGATTTGGATAAGATGTGCTAAAAGGGGAAAGGCTACTATTAGGAGCAGATAAGGACACAAACACTGAACAGGCAAAGTGTCTCCCCAAGACCAATATGCTGTCATACAGAAGCTGCATATCAGCAGGCTATGAAACAGGTTGCAAAATAACCCAGGACCCCATGAACACCACAGCAGCAAAGTGTACCTGACAAAAGCCTCTGCCTTCAGCTTCCAGCAGTGAGATGTTGTAGAAATAATACACAAATGCCACCAAACACTATGTAGATGTATTTGGTATATAGATCCACATGCAGAAGATTTAAAGTACAGGTCAAAATAACCCATAGTTGAGATCACTGTACTTTTTCTATGGTTTTTCTGTCCTTACACCTCTCTTTGGTTCGACACCAAATATTAAAAAAATCACCACAGTCTCTATACAAAAGAATCTTCAGTTCTGCTTTCTTCAATTTCTGCCCATTTAAAAAAACTCATTTAGTTTTTTTTTAAGATGATGTAAAAGGTTGTATTTCACCCTTTTAACCAGGGTGTTAAAAACCAATGCGTTTCGTTACACAAACACACACACACAAAATCAAACAATGCTTAATTGAAGAAACTTTCCATTTCAATACTATTCAGAGAAACTTGATTTAAAATTTGATTATGAAGATAGCATCTATTTTACTGAAAAAAACCACTGTAGACTTAGAAAGTTCGTAGGGAGGATGTAGATAAAAGATACTATCAGCAGTCATGAGCCAACTCCAACTTCTTTTAAGGAAACCACTTACACCACGTTACAATCATTCATTATTTCCATATGTCCAGAGACACATACAGCGCTGTAGTGATAATTAAAATGACATTCTACTTTGATACACTTACAATAGGAGGAAAAAACAAAATGATTCAAAACCAAGTTTTAAAAGGGAAAAAAATATATTTTATCTTGGGCAATGAAGCAAGGCAGAAATGAATCATGCATTTCCACCGCTGATGTCTCCAAGTTCTGCAGCAGACTTTGAAATGGCAAAAGGGTCAGCCTTTACCCACAGGCTTGAAAAGTCAGGCCAAGTTCAGTTTCGACATAACATCTTGTAGAGAGGAAGCCAGCTTATTAAAAATTATTAGTACCAACTTATTAAATATAATTTCTGCAGGCTTTCGGATCAGCATTTTGGCTTACAAAGGGACGCCTTTTGAAATGTAGACTCATTTTTTTAAACTACAGTTATGTTTACAGCTGTTATATTAGCAATGCTCTTCTGGATTTCTTTAATTAGAGAGACAAAAATCAGGTTTAATCTAGCAGTAGTTGAGAGAGACCAACTGAGAAGTAGTTTGGGGTTCATATTGAGCGTCTGCCTTGCTCATTTGGGGCATAAACCTCCTTTTCCCCCCAGTGGATATAAAAAGTTTTCTTTCTTCCTTGTTGGCGTGTGAGCTTTATTTAGAAAGAGCAAGGAGAAACTGAAAGCAGGGTCCAGTGCCCAAGTACACAAGGGGATAAACCTGCCCTTATATGCAAAGCTGCTCATTCCCAATGAAAAACCTGGGAAAGAACAAAATCCCACGCTGCTCTGCCATGTCTGTGTTGGGGCAGGTTCAGCCTGGCTCACAGGAGCAGGGGATAGACGTGCGCTAGCCGAAGCGGTCGCCTCGCCACAGGCAATCCGCACAGCAACCCCCACAATCGTCCCCTACAACAGGTGGTCCCCCTAACCCCCCCCAAAACAAGCAGCCCCCCCTCGGACAACACGCAGTCCCCTAACTCCCACGGAACAAGCAATCCCCCCAACAACCCTACACAAGAGGGGCAATCTCCCCCCACACAACAGGCGGTCCTCCCGACCCCACCCAAAACAAGCGGTCCCCTCCACAGGCGGTCCCCCTCGCACGCCAGTCCCCTACAACTGCCCTGCACAAGAGGGGCAGTCCCCCTCACACAACAGGCGGTCCAAACTCCCCGCAAAAGAAGCAACCCCCTCACACAACAGGCGGTCCTCCCAACCCCCCAACGACCCCTTCACACAACAGGCGGCGCCCGCACAGTCCGGCCCGCTCACCCGCGCGCAGCCCCAGCGCCGTGAGGAGGGCGAGGAGCAGGGGGCCCATGGCCGCTGGTGCCCGCTCCCGGCTCGGCTCGGCTCGCTTCCCTCGTCTTCCCGGCGCGGCGGGGCCGGGCCGGACGGGAAAGCTGGGCTGCCACCGCCCCGTCACGTCCCCGCCCGGGGGCGGGTCTGGGGTTGCGAGGAGCCGAGTAGCCTCCTCCTCCTTCTCCCCGGGCCCGGCCTGAGCGCAGCCAGACAGGAGGTGCTGGGATGAACTGGGAGCCCCCGTGGGAAGCCATTCCTGTCACGGCTGTCCCAGGGGCAAGGGCCCTGGGCCGGGTGACAAGCCCCCCTGAGAGGGGAAGGTCTCCATTGTGCACCATGCGTTTGAGGGGACTGGAAAGTCGTGCCCTGAATGGGCTAAACGCCGACCTGAGAGGGGCAAACCCTTCACTGAGGACCCTCCCTGCCACTGCTCGCTTGGAGTGAATGAATTATCCCATCCTGGACACTGGGATGAGTTCAAAGCTGCCCTGAGATGTACAAACCTTTCATTGAAGACCATCCCAACCATGGCTCGCTCGCCTTGCCTGGAGAATCGCACCCTGAAGCTGCAGAAAGGCACTGGAATAAGTCAAAAGCCACCCGGACTCAGCAAGCCCGCCAGTGCAAAACCATCCCGATCGCGGCTCGCTTGAGGTGACTGGAGAATCACATCCTGAGCCGCGGAAGGGCACTGGGATGGGTTAAAAGCCACCCCAAGAGGGGCAACCTCTCGGTTGAAGACCATCCCTGCCATAGTTTATTTCAGGTGACTGAAGAATCCCATTCTGGATGCACTAGAAGGGCGCTGGGATGAGTTAAAAGCCACCCTGAGATGGGCAAGCTCTCCATTGAAGACCATCCCTACCATGGGTCCCTTGAGGCGACTGAAGAATCACACCCTGGAGCTGCAGAAGGGCACTGGGATGAGTTAAAAGCCATGTTGAGATGGGCAAACCCTCTGCTGAAAGAGTGTCCCTACCACTGCTTGCTTGAGGCGACTTAAAAAATCCCGTCCTGGAGCCGCAGAAGGTCACTGGAATGAGTTCAAAGCCACCCAGAGATGGCCAAGCCCTCCGTTGAAGACCATCTCTATCACAGCACACTTGAGGTGACTGAAGAATCGCATCCAGGAGCCGCCAGTTTGTCCACAGATGTCACCAGCCTTCCCACAGACTGGGAATCCTCTCCTTTCCCTTCCTCCACCCTCTGCTTGGAGGGTGAGACACTGTCCCTCCAAACAGGCAATCGCTGGGTAGAGGTGGTGGCGCCATTAGAGTCAGTGGGCAGCCATCTCCTTGCAGCTCTTGACATCTGTTTTGCCGTGTTGCCTCTGGCCACCACCAGATCTCAAGCTGTGACTAAGCCAGGAGCAGAGCACTTGATGCAGAAAGCATGCTGGGCATCCGTACATAGTATCAGGACCAGCGAAGCTGGTGCATGAAAATTGCCAAGTCTGAGCTGGCGCCATGGACTTCAGCAAGGAAGCTGGTGTGAAATAGGAGGGCTGTGAAATAGGAGCTGCATGACCAGGAGCAGCCATGACACAACAGAAGGCTAGCTGGATGGGGGGGAACACCATGAGCATTCAGAAGAGACGGTCATTAGCACCTGTGGCGTGAAGAGTTCAGAAGGGATGTGACAATGAGCCATGAAGTCAAATGACTTCTGTGACCATCCACAGCCATCACTCATGCTGCTGATGTGGAAGAGGTGGTAGCCAACACCAGCGGCTCTGCACCTCTCAGCTTGAAGCTTCCCTCAGTACACTCGAGTCACCCATTGGGAGACTCCGCTCCTTTCAGAGAACAGCAGGTCTTAGTTTTCATAGACATCCTAGAGAAGTGAGGCTGAAAGGGACCTCCAGCTATTGCATCTAATTCAACCCCTGCCCGAGGCAGGATCAGCTCTGTCTAAACCATCCCAGACAAATCCATCATCTAAACTCTTCATAAGACTACCATCAACTCTGACACTGCACCAGACATCATGCCCAAACTTGCCACAGGTAAAGCAGGGGAATGATGGCAGCCAATATCATGTTTCTGTAAAAGGTTGTTAATATGTGCTCAAGAGATCGCAGGGAGAGGCCATGCCCCCTGCTACAGAGGAAGGCAAAATCCTGCCAATCTGTACCAATGTCACCATGGGGTACAATTCCTTCCTGACCTCAAATATAGCATCAGTGTGACCCTGAGTGGAGGGGCAAGACCCCCTAGCCAGGAACCTCTGGCTTTGGACACAGCAGGAACATTGGACAAGCCCAGTGACATAGCCAGCCTACGCTGCAGTCAACACCCAGTGCCTCTGAGGCAGGCTTAACCACAAAGGAGGGGGTGGGGGCTTTCTAATTACAGGAAAAAAACAGCTGCTGTTCTGTGACACCAGACTTGGAAAAGACCACCCCTAAGGCAGAACGTACCCAATGCTGTGGACTCCTAGATTAAATCTCTGGAATTACCATGTGCACCTTGTCTGCACACCTAACCTTTATACGGCACCCCACATCACCCTTGAAAGGATCTCAAAGGTGCCACAGCCATCTGGTTGAGAATCACTAGTTTGCACCAGTGCTCCCCAGTCTTTTGGTCCCACAGGCTAGACAAGAGTTTGGTCCAGATAGGGCCATGCATTATGGGATCAGGCCCTGTGTGCCCCCACATACTGGGATCAGGCCCTGTGTTGCCCCGTGTGCTTGAGCCAGTGCATGGGGCCATGCTATCCGGTCCCCAGGGCTCCTCACAGGTGTGGAAATTTGGTTGTGGATGACACTTTAATTAAGGCTGCCAACACAGCCTCGCAGCCAAATTTGCAGACCTGTAGGGAGAGCTACACGTTGAATGACATGGCCTGTTAGCCCAGGTGTGGCCCACAAGCCAGAGGTTGAGAGCACCCCTGCTGTAAACCCTTCAGGGCCGTGGCTGTCTTTTAGTTCTTTGATCTGTAGGCCGACCTTTCAAACGAAGGCTCAGGGCAGCTTACAATAAGAGAACAGAATAACTTATAAAACAGAGGAGAGCCTTATGGGATTTGCACAGCAACTAACACACTGGGCTTCTAGGTATTATACCACACCATGAATAACAAAGTAAATTTAGCACACAGAGAGCCTCCATAAAAGCTGTTTCAAGCATTTCTATCCCAGCAGAATTTTAACATGTTGTAGTCCAACTTACTCAGCCCTTTGAGGAGTTTTGCAATCACTCATTTGGGTTTGTGCTCATTTTTAGGAAAAGGGAAGTAGATATTTTTTCCATTAGGGTGTGAAATATCCTGTTTTATACTGCTTCTCTCCCTCCCCTATTTTTCATGTTTTTTTTTAAATTCTGGGAACAGGAAAGAAAAGGAAAGGGTGCTTAGGAACTTCTCAGCATCTATAAAATGGCTTCCAAGAGGACACGTTAATACATAAACAGAACACTGCCACTAAATGTTTCAATGTGCATGAGTCAGGATGTGACTGGCTTTCACAGTTTGGTTTGTGCCGAGCTAATCTTGAGTTTCTGAGAGTAGTACATAGGCCTATCCCAAGACAAACTTTTATTTTAGTTCCTTTGGGAGTTTGTGTTATTTCCTTCCTGCTTTCTTTTCATCTACGCTTCCAGGATCACCTGCATTGTATATGGAAACCTGCAGCATTCTTGTGGCTGCCTCCCAGTTCTCCACTGCAACTCCTTTCACTTTCCAGCTCTTAGCACACTGAATTCTCTGCTCCAATAGCTAATCTTTTTTCCTGTTTCCCAATGCGTTGGCAAGCAATCATTTCTCTTAAATTGCTCTCAGTCATCTTGAATTTCAGATTTCAACATTCCTTTATGCCGAATCCTGTTCTGACTCATTGAATCTTGTTCTGACTCTTTTCATCCCAAGATCTACTCTTTCAGCTTACTTGTCATTTAAAAGGTTTGTTTACACCTCAGTGCCTACAGATTAGGTAGATACCCTGAGTTAACTTTAAATTAACTTTCAGAGAGTTTACCTGTATTGCAGATTTGACAGCCTGCACTGAGTTCTTCTGGTAGCACCTGAGCTTGCTGATCAAATGCTGACTTGGATACTTCTATATGAGTAGCAGTTACTGCACTAAAAAGGTACCCTGAGTCTCTCCAGACACAACTGTCATCTGTCCTAGAGAAAAAGCATCTTTTTTGTCACCAACAAGATGCAGAGTTCTGCCAGGCTGCATCACACTCCCTTCCCTATGGTTTTCTTGCTTTGTCTACCTCTTTTCCCATTGCTAAGTTTTTTGCTTTTGTTGCCTTTCTTCTTCTTTTTTCCAAACCTCACTGATCTCAGTTTATCTCTGGTGTCACTCCATGAACCCTGTTTTTACTTTGAGTTCTCCTTTTTCAGGGGCTAAAACACGCAATGTGTGCTTCAGACTATGGTCTGTCACTGTTGCATTTAATGATAAACCTATTCCCTCTGTAGGATCACAAGGACATCTGACATTTTAATTCTTTTCTGGGTTTGCAGACCAGAATACATTGATTGCACGCACCATCCACATTGAAAGAGTATTAAGGTTGCAAGGTCATGCCATCCAAAATTGGGATGTATCAGAATTCTGGCCATCTATGCAAGAGCTGCATCCTTTCAAGTAAGTGCTGCCAAAGCTCAGGCCTCAGCATCCCATCACACAGTTCCCCAGATGCCTTCCCTTTGGAGCATAACAATGCTCAAGTTCTGTTTAAAAAACAGGGTGGAAGAGGGAACATAATCCTTTGTACCCTTTCCTTGCCTCACCATCTTGTCTTCTGCTGCCCACAAGCACAAGAGGAGGGAAATAATACAACTAGCTCCATAGAGATTTTCCCAAATTTCACAGGAACCCACACAAAAGCAACCTCTTAGCAAAGGACAAAACAGCTAACCAAAATTCTACACCAGTCAAAAGGCCCAGAAAGAGGATATCCCACATGAGACATCAGAAAGAGAAGTTACTGCCAACAACATCACTGACTGAAGACTGTCCCAATGGCTGAAAGTAGTCCATACTCAGGATGTCCTGTCAGTGTTTGGTTTCCTCCCATAACTCCATGACAGCCAGATCCACTTCCCCAACCACACACCACAAAAGCAGCTGTGGCTGTCCCCTATAGGCATTAATGCTCAAGAACAATGCTAGAACCCTGTAGACATACATACAGCATGTACACTACTTCAGCTACAACCGGAATCTGTATCTTTAGGTAGCTAATGTAGATGGCCACACTAAGTATATTCCTGGACAGGAAAAAGGTTTAAAATTGCAGCTGCAATTGCAACAAAAAAGATCACTATCATATTGAGAGGAGGGTGATTAACTTGTTTCTCTTGCCTCTTTGTGGGGAATCCTTGCTATATCTATTTATTAAGCTGGGCTGCTGCCTGCTTACAGCTAAGAGATTCCTTGAAGAGTGGTCCTTTTGGGATCCAAGTAATTAGGATGTGTGGGGTCCATGTTCTTTTGGAGCTTCTGAATAACATCTGCTATTCCCACTCACCTCACCCTGCAAATGACCATTAGAATTACTGACCATTCATTTGCAGTACCTTGACATCAGAAGGTTTGGCACTGGAATTTGGGTTCATGATGATATTGTAAAAAAAACCTCACTCAACCTGACTTCGCTCTGCAGTTTTCCCATGACGTAACTGTAGGCTGCTGTGGGCAGATCACAGCAGGATATGTTTGGTCAAGCTAGTTGAGCTGACCAGTTTTACTTTGCTGCTGGCTTTGGCCAAGGACCCACTGTTTAGGGCCCTTGCCTCTGCTGCAGCCACCCCAGGCTTGTTAGTGATGCCAAACAAAAGAAGTTAAACAAATAAGATAACACTTAGTTGTCTTCCAGGCTTCCCCTTCTGGCGGCCTTTTATCTTCCAGGGATTTTGCAGAGCCTGTGGGCTTGTACAACAAAGCAAATGATCAAGTAACCAAACAGAAGAGCCCTGCTCCAGGTTCTCCCCATGCCTGCTTAACTCCAGGCAGTCTGTTCCCTGGCCAGGTGCAGCCCTTTGAGGCTGCTTTCAATGTCTTCTATTTTTCCCACTCTGGGCTCATGTATCTAACCCTTTCTTACTCCCCACACCCATGTCAGCTCCCTTGCTGAGGGACTCGCTACATCCCAGAACCTGGTTCCCCAGCCTCCGGTGAGTTCTCTCAGGTCTGGGGTCAGTGTGCAGAGGTGCTTCTGGGGTGTGGTGCTATTCAGACTCCCCTGAACCTCTAGTAATAGCGCAGGGCCCTGTTACAGTGACTATTAACTTCAAATGCAATATTTTAGTTGTATATTGGTGCACATAAAAGCAGAATAAAGCAAAGGCTCTAAACATTCAGTATAGATTGTACCATGTTTTTCTAGTCATTAATAATCTTTTTTGTGAATGAATATATTGATCCTTTTTTTGTTCATTTCAGGTTGAGTTTGCTTCTAGCTCCTGGGCTGGATTATGGATTCCAAAAATTAAGTAATGGTAACAGAAATTGTTTTTGGTAGATCACTAATTGTTAGAATTCTCTAAACTTCTGTATGTTACTGTGTCACCGTCACATAAATTAACTGTCAGCTACTGTGTGTCACCATCACATCAGTTAACACCATCACATCAGTTAACAACTTTCCCATAAAAATACAGAGAACAAGAGGCCTGTGTGGTTAATGAGCAGTTACATTATGCATGCTAACCAGATTATAAGAGCACCTTTGTTCACTTGAAAATTATGTGCAGGTCATTGATAGCTTCCTAGAACTCTATTATTAAACTTGTTGTGTTAATGACCTACAGCTGGTTGTGGAGAAAAGCGGTTACGCTAGGGGATAGGATGCAGATCCAAGTGGACCTGGACAATCTGGAAAGGTGGGTGGAGCGGAACCAGATGCAGTTCAATAAGGATAGATGCAGAGTGCTTCATCTGGGGAGAAGTAATCAGTGACATGAATATAGGTTAGAAGGACATGTCCTGGCCAGCACAATGACTGAAAGGGACCTTGGTGTCATGGCTGGCCACAGGATGGACATAAACCATCAGTGCAAAGCTGTAGTCAACAGAATTAATAGTATACTGGGATGCATTAGCTAATGTGTTGCAAGCAGGGCTAAGGAAGTGATACTTCCTCGCTACTCACTGGTGAGACCCCAGCTGGAGTACTGGGTCCAGTTCTGGGCACCACACTTCAAAAAAGACATGGAGAATCTTGAAAGGGTCCAGAGAAGGACCACAAGAATGATTAAGGGCCCAGAGGACAAATCTTATGGGGAAAGACTAAGGGATCTGGGCCTGTTCAGCCTGGGGAAGAGAGGACTGAAGGGGGAATTGATGGCTGTCTATAAGTTTGTAAGGGGTGAATATTGAGAGCTGGGAGAAAACTGTTCACTAGGGCACCCCAGGGGACAACAAGGAGTAATGGCCATAAATTGTTAGAGGAAGGTTTCAGGTTGGAAGTAAGGAAGAACTTCTTTATGGTAAGGGTGACCAGAATCTGGAATACACTTGCCAAGGAGGTAGTGCAGTCCACAACCTTGGAAGTCTTCAAGAGAAGACTGGACAGACACCTTGCTAGGATCATTTGATCACAGCAGTATTTCTGCCCAGAGCAGGTAGGTTGGACTCAATGATCTTTTGAGGTCCCTTCCAGCCCTTCATTTCTATGATTTCTATGACTACTCCCAGTTTTAGAGACAAAACTGTCTGCTCAAACAGACTAGGGTGGCTCAAGCTCTATGCATTAGGTGTCAATACTCTAGATCACATCTTCCAAAGCCAAAATGCATTACTCTTGTAAAGTAGATAGATAGAGTAATATGCAATTGATTGCAGACAGGTGTTATAGATGAAGCCTTCAGAGGTCTGCCCATGTTCATCACCAACATTTCCCTCACATCTCTTGAGCTGTTTTATTGGATATTTGTCCTGAATTCCAGCTCCAAGATTGCTGCCTTTCAGTAAGAAGTCCCACTGAAAATGTTGCATGTGGAAGGTTGTTGAGTGATACGCCCACAGTTGGCCTCCATTCATAGCTGTCAAAGTTGCTTTCAACCCTACGATTCTATGTAGCCGAAGTTCCTGTACAGATGAAAGGCTTACTGTTCATAAACCATCCCAAACAGACACTCATTCAGCCTTTTCTTGAAAAACTCATCTGAAGAAGATTCCACAACTTCCCTGGAGAGTTTGTTCCATTGACCTTTTGTTCTTCTCCTGTGAGGAAGCTTGTCCTGAGATTTGTTCTAATCATGTATTCTACATCAGGCTTCCTGCTCTATATGATGGGAGGACAATGTTTCTCTATTTTCCTTAAAGCAGCCTTGCAAACATTTGAAAATTGTTAACCTGACTCCCTCACTTCATCTCCTTTTCTCCAAATTAAACATACCTCTTTCCTTCAGTCTGCTCTCCTACGGCTTGCTTTTCATCCTTGTGTCTTGCCTCTGGACCCTCTCTGATTGCAATGTACTTTGGCAGTATTTGAGATGAAATATGGAACTGCAGATATAAAACATTACTATATGTAAAATACTATGCATCGTGTCTGAAAGGCTTCTAAAACTAAACAGATGCATCAGAGACTACAGATGTCCTCCTGTCCACACTATTTGTTGGCATGAAAATTCCTCCTACATTTTAATTTCACAAAACTGAGGAATGTATTGGAATAAAACTTGGGTCACCATGAATCCAGATCACTTTCTTTTTTTCTGGAAAGGAAATGTAAATTTGAAGTTAACTTGGCTTAAAAATGTTAGCTTCTAAACTCTCTTCAGAGAGAGAAGAATTAGTGTTTTCATTGTGCTTGTAAGCACTATAATTTTCTTTCGCATAGGTATATATCCCTTGAAATAGATTTTCACAAGCAAAGTGCTGTAGACACATTGTGTTCCTAGCTACCCCTTCATCCAATTTTCTGATTCATAACACACATTACCTAAAAGGGTTGTGAAATCTCAAAGGATTGACCAAGTGTACTAATTGCCCACTTGACGGTCACTGCTTCCTGCACATTCCCGCCTTGTGCAAATAGTTGTAGCTGTTTGCACCTGCACCCATGTATTTTGCAGACACAACATATATTGTTGAAAATGCAGGTATCTGGAGACGCGAGACAGCCTAAGGATACCAGTACTGTTGCACTGCAATCACTAGCAACAGAAGCAGCAACAACTATTAGTATACCAATGTAATTTGAGATGGCAGCAGTGCATATAGAATCGTAGAAAGTGAGGGCTGGAAGGGACCTCAGGAGGTCTCGTCTAGTCCAACCCCCTGCTCAAAGCAGGACCAGCCGCAACTACATTGTTTCAGCCAAGGCTTTGTCTACCCGGGTTTTAAACCTCCAAGGACGGAGATGCCACCACCTCTCTGGGTAACCTGTTCCAGTGCTTCACCACTCTCCTAGTGAGACATTTTCCTAATATCCAAACTCAACTTCCCTTGCTGCAGCTGGAGCCCATTGCTCCTTGTGTTGTCATCTGCCCTCACTGAGAACAGTCCAGCTCCATCCTCTTTGAAGCCCCCTGCAGGGAGTTGCAGGCTGCTATTAAAGTAGTCAAAAGCTGCCAATTAGCTTTTATTTCTTGATGTTGCTTATTGCCAAGGGTATTCTCAAAACATGTTTTCAATACTGTGAACAGAAGTAATATTTCATACCTGTCCTAATTTGACAACTTCTTATCTTTTCAAAGAGTAAGTTGGGAAGCAGCATCTGCTGTTAAACATTTTTCATGGCAAGCTTTAAGACAAAGAATTAGTGACCATAACTCACTGTACTCATCTTTCTTCCTCTTTTTGTGAAGTTAAATTTGGATGCTGCCTAGGACACCAACACACATTGGCAGATATGTCATCTGTTTGCTATATTGGCATATCTGTGTTTTGCTTACCACTACAAATTATATAGGGAAAAATCACTGAACAGGCAATCTCATTCCTGAAAGACCATCCTAATTTTTGACGCTTGGCACCATGCAGGACATAATGTTTAAAAAAAAAAAAAAAAGGCAGTGATCTATTTACTATATAGTCACCACTTTTATTATGGAAATTAGAGGTTTACCATGTTATAGGGTTGACCATGCTCAGACACTAAGGCCAAGCAAAATAGCCAGCTGCTGCCTGTTTTGTTTTGTATATATTTGTGTATTTTGTTATGTACCTCATTTTATTAATGCAGAAAATAAAAGCTCTGCAGGGACTTTAAGATGAGTGGAACTCTCTTCAGTGTAGGTGCGATTTTGAAAATAAAAGACATCACCTGCATTGCTGAGGGGTGAAAGAGAATACATGAAAGAATTACTGAATAAGCCCAGGGATCTAATTTTTTCTCTTCCCACATCTGAATATATCTGTGTGCTATGAAAGAGACAGATACTGGCAGAGTGCCTATGGGGGAGGAGGGAGGAAGTGATAAGATTCTTGTACTTATGTTTTCTTTACCCATCTGCCAGGAAAAAACTGTTTTCAGAAAAAAATGTGTTAAAAACTTGTGGGATTACAACATAACCCTGGGAGATATGCTAAGTAAAAGGACATGTACATCTGGGGTTTGTCACAAAACTTAAAAAAATCTATTTAATAAAAGTTATTTCAATCCAAG